TATGAAGTCAGAATACAATGCTTCTTCATTCATCATAACGTATATAAATAGTAACAACTAAGAGGGACTAAGTTTAGATCCCAAATCATAGCCTAAAGTCTAGGAGCTATACATGGTATACAATAAATACACGTGAGATAAGGAAAGCAAATCAAGGATAATCAAGAATAAATATAAATGAATATTTATATTTATTTATCTATAATACATGTAACATAAGAATCCTAAGAAGTAGTCGCAATAATGGCTACTATAAGATGGGAAACTAACCAATGTTGATGAGATGTGAGGATCACAAGAAAAGTTGATGCGAATTTGCCCTCGAATATTGCCAACAAGAAACACGGAAACTCTAGCAGAGTATATCTATGAGAAAATAATAAATTAATCAATAAAGGATCGCAAGAATTATTACATAATAGAGAAATCATAGTTGTCATGGCGTCGACTTGGCAACCAGGAGGTCTGCTCTTCTTGTCATCCCCGACTCAGTCCCAACTCTCTCGCCTTTGATTGTCAGTGCTTTAATTTTTTTTTTTTGAAAATGCCTTATAATTGATTTATTTCAAATCCAAATCAGTTTTTTTTTCAATTCATCTCTGTAATCCTACTTTTAAATAACTTCTTTTTTTCAAGTCAGTATTTTTTTTTCATATTTCATTTAAACTATGAAATTGCGGGCTGCTTTTTTTCATAGTTCGTTTTTCATTTTCCTTTCTTCCTTCTTCCTTTTATCATTTCATACATGTCGCCTAATTATCTCCTAGCAAGTCGCCTAGCAGTGGCGCCGAGACAATTATGAGGGAAACCAAATATAGGAGAGGATATCTAAAAAAACAACTACATGAGAGGATAAAGAACACAAAAATGCACCTGTCCATATTTAAAGCGGAGAGTTTGTACTATCTTAGTTTCCATAAATTTTCCAAGAAAGCCAACAAAATGAACATCTTCCCTCTAGTATTTTTAATGAAGCAGTATATATTTAGAGCGCACTTATAAGGATCAAAATTGAAGCTCTTATAAATGTACCTCGTATTGACCTATGAATAATGAAATTTACATCATACCCTGTTTTCCATAGTTAACTGAACAGGAAAGCATAGTTGGACTGAACACTGTGCTTCCACCATAGGGCTATGAACAACTTCTCTACAAGCACATTAGACATGTTAGCAAAGTCTGTGACATCAAGATGAACAATATTTGTTACATAGTAATCGAGGTTCACACAGAAATGAAGATGCATTTAAGATTTTTTAAGCAGCGATCCATCCCAAATCAAGATTATTTTACACATTGCAATACAATACCAGCCAACACTGTTAATTTAAGCTGAAACCCACCTAATACTGGTTGAAGGAAATGTGAATGGCAAACCTTTAAGAGTGCCTAATTTGAAATGTAAAACGGGCTCGGGAGGCCTTGGAATCCCACCCTACATTGCAAATTTGAGATCAGCATATAGAAATGCTCAGTACTCTAGGGCTGAAAAAAGAACCAGGCAGTTAACGGCTTTACCAGATACTGTAATATTAATGGACAAGCAGTGGCAGGGTCAATATTCCCAACAATCACCATGGTAAATGTTGATGGATCCTTGAAGCAATTACTGTAATATTCACATGCTTTATACAGATTTACTTTTTGAAGATCTTCAATTGTAATTGGCTGCACAAGAAAACTCATTTAAGTGAGAAGTTCACTTAACATGTACCTTGAAAAGTTAAAAACAAGACAAGAAGAACATGATTACCCTGAAGAAATAATGGTTCCCATAATTGAGCTCCCGGACACGGTCTGCAAAGGCAGTGTAGGGATCTCTCTCCTGAGCACGTATATTTTCTTCTTTCATTTGCATCACTATCTTGACATCCTCTTGCCCCAGTTCTACTTTTGTCGTGAAGAGTTGATAGACCAGCTGGAGAGGTGAGAGAGGGCATCATTTTGCAGAAAACAGGAGAGTTAATATCATAAAACATTAGTTCCTCTATACAAGGTTCATTTATCCTTGGAGTAGTAAACAAATTAACTTTCCCAAGCACATCACTGTCATTCAAAGTTGTGAAATCTAAATCACAAGACCTTTTTACTTTGGTATTGGAGTACATTCTATAGGGCAAACCTGCAATGCAGTTTTTAAATCTGAAGGTGAACAATCGCCATAAACTGTTCTCGTATACGTTCCAAGTTCTGTGCTGACTTGAGCTCGTTTTCCAGCAAGCATTTCCGTAAGAATTGAAGGCCGATAACCAAAAGCACCAACTTCACCAGCAATGGTTGAGCTCATTTTACATGAAAAGTATTCACTTTCTGGAAGTTCAGATAAACCTCCATATGAAAACCCTGAGAATAAAACCTGGCAAACAAGATGTTAAATAATGCAAATGACAAGCATTTCATTAACTCCTAAGTGGAAACAGAAAATGGCATGGTTCTTTGACATCAATAATTGATGTCTTAACTGCTCAAAAAAACAATTGATGTCATATTATGACAACATGCACCTATGGTGCTCCATTGGGCCCGAAAGTGGTTCCTCCGTCCCCAACCCCCTCCCCCCTCTAATGGACGATCGACTAGGGAAGGGGGGTAATAGGGGATGGGGTGGGGCAGGGGGTAGGAACCACTTTCGAGTAATCAAATGAATGTACATGCAGAGCGGATTATAAACGGATCGGATATATAATTTCCAAAACCGTATCCATTTACCGATTGGATGTACTTAATTGGATACAGATGATATCCACTTTAAACAAATGTAAATATTTTCCTTGTAAACGGATCCGGATGCAGACGATAATCAAATTTTTGGTTATCCATTTACAACCCTAGCCATACAATTCAATACATTTCATCTAAAATGCCTTCCTGAATAGCTAACAAATGGTGGTGGTCTCTGGTACCCAGACTCTGGCTTCTATGTTCACTATGGCTAGGGTTTTGATCGAAGCTTGAAGATGATGTCTAGGGATTCGGGTGAAACTTGAAGAAGATGATGAACAGTTGAAAGAGGAAGAGATTTGGAATTTCAGTTGAGAACGGTTCAAGGAAGTGAGAGGGCTTCTTTGATTGGAAGGGAAGCCTTTACCAGACCCCCAATCCTTGTATAAATAGACTTTCCTAGAATAAGGGGAGCTAAACTGAACACAGATAATTACTTATACGATTATCGTCACAACTATTCTTCGGTGGATTAAAATCAAACACTACCAATGCCAAAAAAATAGCCATTTTCAAGTCACAACTTTGAAGGTTTGTAATTCTTGTCAGAATTCTGCAAAAGAATGCTTTACAGAGAAGGGGGTCTATTGCAAAGAGCTCAAAAGATATTAAGGACCTGATGGCTGGATGGCACATAAATGTGATGAAGTAACAGACACTAATACCTCTTAACTCCATACCTGATCATCAAGAAAGTCAGTGCATTTATAACACACTCGCATGCCATTTGATAAAACTAACTCAAATGCCCCAATATTCTGATGTTCAATCTGCTGCACTGTCCACCTGAAAAGGATACCAAGATGGTCAAAAAATGGGATAACATAGTACATAACTACTTACAAGAAATCCGCAGTTTGACCCCTTTCTATAGATTACAGCCTACACCTTTAATTCACTATTTGCAATAGCTTATATTGTACGTGTGGAAACCTACTCACAGACACAATACCGAAGGAAATCGGATTGCTAAAAATTCTTTTAAGTATTGCACTTGGATGCTAGGTTGAAAACTGGCTGGCCAGGCCAATTCCTCCCGCAACGGCGCAACTGGCAACTTATCCAATGTTTTTGCAAATGTCAGTGTAAATTGAGTTTAAGTTTGAACATTCATATGCCATATTTTATTTAAATTTTAAAAATTGAGAATATTGCTTAAGTGTTGCAAACAGCCTCTCTACCTATATAGGTGGGGGGAAGGTATGCGTACACCCACCCTACAAAGACCGCACTTGTATGATCTTACTAGGTTGTTCTTGTTGTGATCGAGTTCAAGTTTGATTTTCATAAGATACAGGCAATTTCAGAATCAAGATTACAGTATTCATTAGAATTACAGCAACAGATAGTGATAATGTCAATCATTGATGGAAAAGATTGTCTAAAGATGTGAGGATACCCTGCATTTGGTTTTACAGAAACAACTTCTTTTGGAATGTTTTCGTCATCCCAAGGAGGAAGACTTTTCCCTTGTTCAAGTGTATTGATCTTCAAAACAAGAGCTTTCAGATCATCCAGTGTGGCAGTTGCTTGGGGCTCTATTGTTTTAATGAAACAGCTAGACGATGTGCTAAACCTCTCTGAGAATTTAGATACATCAGATGCTGATATATCTAGGAACACAAAAAGGCTCAGCATCAGTTTATAGCTATTCTTTCCATGCAAAGGGCATATGGCTTATTTTTGGAAGATTATTTTAGTAGTAGGGAATACTCACGAGGTAGAAGAGTTTTATGGAGTTGTGCCTCATACTCAATGTCAATAACAGATTCATTACGGAGAAAATGCTGAAAACAAGTCAATGATTAAAACTAAGCAGAGTGAGTGAGTGAGTGAGCGAGTGAGAATGCACCTGCAAATAATAATCGCTTAAGCTTGTTGACTCCATCTGTTCTCTCTCTAAGTAGGCAGATTCCATCTCTGACATCAGCGAAGCACGTACACCAGATATTTCACGTTCAGAGAACCCATGCAGTCGTACCCTTGCAACCTAAAGCTGAAGTTAATAGAAAAGAAAAAGCAGGAAAAATTCGTAAAATTTGAAAATAGAAAAGCACACCTCAGTCAGCATTGATTCTAAAGCCTCAAGAGTTCCCTTCTCTTTGCAAGACGAAGTCAAAATGTATGCATTCACTGGACGGACAAGACAATGTACTTCACCATAGCAAGAAAAATAAGGTGGATCCTTCTTGCAAGATATCTTGAAAAATCTCTGATTCAAGGCACGAAAAAACATGGACTCTGCAAGCAAATCACGATAGTCTTTCACAGTTTTTAACTCATCCGCAGGCATTTTGCAGCTGATCATCACAGCAGACTGTCAAAATTCAAAATACAATACGAAAGTAAAATTCCCTACCACCCATACCATGTGAGATATCAAAAAAAAATCTTGTGAATATGATAAAATACTACCCCATCTGCCTCAGGTTCCACAAAACATGAAAACCTTGTTTCTTCATGTAATGGAACAGGATAGTATGGTATAGGAGGCAGGTCAGGCGGAGAAGCTTTATATCCAAAGTGAGTCTTTATCAAATCAACAACACTCTGTCATGAAGAGTCAAAGAAAGCAAAAATAGTTTCATCATAAAGTACGATTAAAAGTACTTTTCTACATAAAATAAATATATCAATCTCCAGACCTGTGTGTCAGGAAAATCTCCAACAGCTATAACAGACATATTCTGCAGTTGATACCACTTTTCATATAAATGTTTCACAATCTGAGGAGAAACCGTCTTGATCACCTTTTCTACTCCAATGGGCAGCCTGTCAGCATACTGCAATAAGTAATTCAAAATTTTAGAGTAGCTTCAAAAGTGTGTACTAACTAAATAACCTAAATTTTTAAATAACCGAGGCAAAATTAGTTATTTAGTCCTTTTTAGCCCCGATATTAGCTAACATTAATTTTAGTATATATTCATGGAGTGTGAAAACATTTATGGTGAATGTCGTTCCAATCACTACCTTCTTATGAAGGGATAATAAGATGAAATTTCAAAACCATCGCCTATAACAAAATAACAAATTGAAGCAGAAACATCACGAGGCAGCAACAAGTTGAGATCGATGTTAAAGTCATGTCTCATTACTCAATCAAAAGCACTTTATAATCCAGTAACTTTGGCATCAAACAGAATCACAAATACAATATTTAGTCTAGTTATTCGATCCTCTAAGTTAGTCGATTGCGGGAGAAATTCCTATAAAGGACTAAAACATATTTCATATGCTAAAATATGACCTATGTTTTTTAACGAAAATAGCGTTTAGAATGCCAATAATGTCAACATATTACACCAAAAAACACTGAAATGCCAATACACAATGTCAAATTGCATGCATTGTCACAGTGCAATGGTCCTATTTTGGGGATAAAAACATAAAATTCTTATTTTTAGTATAACTTGAATGTTTTAGTCTAATTTAGGCAGATTTCTTGTCGATTATTAAGAATGAATATTCTAATTCAACTACAAAAATGAAAATACAAGTATGCCCCAGATCCATGAAAGGAAAGACAACATACTCCATCCTTCAAGTAATCATGATAAGCTCTTCAACACCGGATTTTGAAACATAACAATGAGGTAGTCACTAAACAACATATGATATCCCTATGCATGAGTGCATCACACAAAAGTATAGGAAAATCTAAAATGGTGGATTGATATTGAATTTCAAAAATATGAATTGATTTGAGCCAAATCATGCCAAATATGATATCATTGGTATGGGAAAAAAGTGGGACAAACCAAATTGGATGAAAGAGACAACTTGGAAAAGGGAGAGAACAATACTGCTGTCTTTCTCATCATGATATGACTCTTTTGGCCAAGATGAATATTAAAAGTGAATACTTGCTAACTATAAGGCAATGCAAGGTCAAAACCAGGAACCAGATTAAATTGGACGCATTACCTTTGAACCTTCCATCATCAGATGCCAGTGTGCATCCTCTATGCGTCCATCGGCATTCCTATCTTCTCTATACTCTTCCATTACAGCCCCTCTTTCCTTTTCCAAGTCATCTTCGGATGCTCGGACCTGAATGTAAATTAGTCAAATACGAAAATATTACTCCCACCGTCTTGCAATGGACTTTTACATTTCCCTTTTCTATCCGGCCCAAAACAAACTTGCACTTTTCTCATTTCCTTTTATCAGCTTATGGAAAAGAAATTGTGACTCAAAACATGACTCGCTCTCTCTTCTAAATAAACTCAAACCACACATTTTTCACTTTCAACACCTTTCTTAAACTCTGCAAAGTCAAAGTGCCAATTTCATTTTGAGACGGAGCAGCATATGTTTTCAAAGATTCTACACAAAAAAAAGGCAATTATTGATACCTCTGAGCTGAACTCTCCCAATATGGAAATTGCTTGGGATAATAATTCCGGTTTGTCTATTGGAACAAATAGCTCATACACAGTTTCGTCAAAAGATGTGTATGCATTCTGGCAAGCACCAAACTCAGCCCCGATACTTTCAAGAAACCGAACGATATCATGGTTTGTATATTCCCCAGTGGCGTTAAAAGCAAGATGTTCTACTATATGAGCAACGCCACGCTCTTCCTCTTCTTCTAAAACTGATCTGCAATCAATTTAACAGCACTTGATTAGCGAATCCGCACACATAGCACAACTGTGGATGAATGCACAGTCGGGAGTCACGGTAAACAAACAAATGCTGCAAGCAAACAACATGAGAATCAGTTGATGGAAGGTGTTAAAACATCTTGTCTCATAGAACACACTTAGACCGATACCCTACAGCTCCAATTCTGGTGTTTGGTAGCACAAAAATATGTGAATTTGGAATTGATGGATTAGGGATTTTTCCTAATCCAATAATATTTGAACAGTACAAGAAAGCCCAATTTTATCCGGCCCAAGATATAAATCAGATAAATTATTCAAGACAGAACCAGAGATATATGGATAGAAGAATATATTTGAAGTGATGTGGAGACATTTGGCGGGACCCGTGGAACACTATCACATGGAAACCACATGCCGCACATGGGCTTCACATGGACAATGTCCCCTTTGGTCTCCATCAATTATTCTCTCCCCCCCTTTAAATGCAAGCTACGAAGAGGAAGGAGGGGAGGCCAGATTCCTACAACTCCATACTACTATATTCTTCATTCTTTTTTTCCTTTATGCTTGGAGCTCCATTAATGGCTCCAAGCTCCTACAATGATGTATATGTAAATTC